CACTGCCCTGGCACGTTGGCCCCAAGGCGGTCCAGGTACCATCGACTCAACACCTGACACCCGGCCAACGGTGTCCACGAACCGAGATGGGCAGTCGATCCGTGTGGGTAAGGTGGCACTCTGCCTCTGTCGCTCCAAGTCGCAAGGCTCACTAACTAACGTGACAAGCATGGATGGCCTCCCCTCCTGGTTGGGAGAAAAATAAAAAAGCCACAACCACTGGACCACCCCACCCGGCACTTTAGCCCATGTGCCCGGGTGTCATATGCCACTGCCCTGGCACGTTGGCCCCAAGGCGGTCTAGATACAATCGCCTCATAACCTGACACCCGGCCAACGGTGCCCACGAACCGAGACGGGCAGTCGATCCGTGTGGGTAAGGGCAAGATCTCAAGGCAAGTCAACATGTCACTACGGCCTCCCTTCTTTGTTCAATCACAACCCAAAACTATTTAAAAAGATGAAATATTAAAAATTATTAACTTCAACAACAAATAAACAACAATTTTGTAGACATACAGCAGCAGGAAACCAGGTAGAACAACAGGAAGCCAATTGACTCACTCAGAAACAAAAGTCACAAACATGTATTTTTTACACCAAAAATAAAATAAAAGAATTTTAACAACTGTAAAACACAAAAAAACCTATTTAAAAAACTTTTAAATACAAAACAATACTTTGAAATACAAAAAAACACTTTTAAACACAAATAAAGCCAACCACATACAAAAATGAGATTTTGGGTTCCTTTCATATAAGCCTTGTTGATCTAAACCCTGTGGTTCTGGTTCGGCGCAAAGGGTTAAGGACAGTAGCAGTAGCAGTAGCAGTAGCAGTAGCAGCAGCAGGAGTCGTCGTAGTAGCAGTAATAGGAGCAGGAGCAGGAGTCGTCGTCGTAGCAGTAGTATGAACAGGAGCAGGAGCAGTAGCTGTAGCAGTAGCCGAATAGGTGTAGAAGTAGGAGTAGTAGTAGCAGCAGTGTCAGTGGTAGTGGTGGTGGTAGCAGTAGTCGTAGTCTCGTCGTGTTGTAGTGGTAGTGGTGGTTATGAAGAAGCTGCAGCAACAACTACCGTACATATCAAGCTTGTTTTGTACATTGGGGCCGTAATGGTTGGGCGAAGGTATTGGGGTATTAGAACATACGACAATGACATTGAGGGAAACCAAAGGCATAGTATCATAACAGATTCCCTAAACCCCTTAACCCTTCTTCAGCACGGGCTTGGGGTGCGTGCCGGCAAGCTGGAACCCCTAAATCACAAATCCTTCATTTTGTTATGATTATGATTGTTGTTGCTGCTCTTGTGATAATTGTTGCTATTACTATACTGTTGTAATTGTTAATGTGATTATCAGTCTTCTTCTTTTGGTTTTGTTGCTGTAGTTCTCCAAGGCTTCACTGCTCCGACAAGTCGCAGAAGGCCGAGGGAGCCGAAACAGTCCACAAAACCAAGTTTCGAGGGGCTGAGCTGTGGGCCTGCAGCAAGCCCAGAGAGCCCAATCTCCCTCAATTAAGGACAAAAGCTTAAATCATCATATGAAGCCCTATATATTTTAAGCCATACTCCTTAATTAAGGGGTATTGGGCTGTCTGGGAGCGGGAGTCCTAAGGGTTTAGGGTTCTGGGGGTTCAGGTTGCTTTCTGTTTAGGGTTCTGGGTTGAGGTTTAGGTTGCTTTGTGCTTAGGGTTCTGCGTTTGGGGGTTTAGGGTGAATCTCTTGCGTACGATTGTTACCTCATGTCTATAACAACCTGTAAGTTGCCTCCACCATTCCTAAAATCAGGCCCTGCCAAGATTGGGCCGTGGCAATGTGATGCCACCACTTCTTTGCAGTTGCTGTTTTGAACTGGCTAGGCGCAAGAAGCAGCAACTTAGCTTCCATGTCTATGAGCGTCTTTGAGGTTGTCTGTTCCAGTAATGGCCATGATCTCCCCCTCCGGCACTTTCCCCGAACCATAGAAACACAAAGAGCACTAGTGCGACGGGACGAATGCTTGGTCAAGGGCTGTACCAGAGCCGAAAAAGCCCTTGGACAAGGCCTCAAAGCGACTGCAAACGAACCAAGAAATCCACATTGGCACCTTCCGGGTACTTTGTCAGCCACACGAACATCGTCTCCTGGATGGAAGCTGATTTCTCAAGCGGGGCTGCTCCACACCTTACAAGTTCGATCACCCAAACTTGAGTAATGAGAAAGCTCGCAAATTCGAAGACTAGTGCCAAGTCCACTTTCCTCGGGAATTGCTTCGAAGGCGGAGAACCCAAAAAGAAGAGTGCAGACAAAATATGCAAATCAGATTGCGGCAGTGCTCAAGCAAGCATCACCAAGGAATGCAGGAAGGGCACCCAGCTATGCTGCCTTCTATGGCCATGAGCACTGTGCAGTAGCAGCTGTCGTCGTAGTAGTACCGACGTAGGGGGTAGGGGTAGAAGAGGGGCGGGTCGTCGTAGTCGTTGTAGTAGCAGTATGTAGACCCGCACCCTCAGAAAAAGCCCACCCAAATGCCAATGCCCTTTGAATTCTCTGACTTCCGAGAAAATGTCATTCGGAACCATGAGGCTTAGGGTTTAGGGGTCAAACAAACGTATCGTTGTTTCTGCAGAGTCTCGCCGAGACCACCTTGCAAACACTGCCTGAGGAAGATAAAGAGCGCCGTCCTCACTGCAGGGTTTAGGGATCAGGGTTTAGGGTTTAGGGCCAAGACGTGCCCGGGGCGTTGGACAGTTTTTTCTACCGGGGTCTTGTTGAGGGATTGAATTTAAGTTACCTTAATAAGGAAGCCATATTATTTAGTATAGATCCCTAAACTAAATTCCTTAACAAGCATCGTCCAGGTCCTAGGTCTTCTGAACCTTTTGATGGCTTTGCCGCGGCTTTATCTGCTCTGCAGAGGCTTTATAGGGCTGCGCAGGGGGATTCTAAAGCTGATGCTACACCCCAAACTACATAAACAAAAACAAGCAAGCGAACAACTGTTACTGGTAATGTTGCTTTGAAATGTTAAATACCGTAAAAGCAGTAGCATCATTCATATTGTATATGTATTTTCATCACTTTTAGCATGATTCCACTCAGTCTCATTTGTATGTCGGGTCATCACTAGGGGGTTTAAAACGGCCCTCGGGGGTTCAAACGGCCCTCTAGTAAACCATACTTTCTGAAGCCCTGAAAAGCAAGCGTGGGTTGGGAACTTGAACTCTCAACCATGTGGGGCGGTTTGGGGCGGAGGGCTTTTTCAGGCCGGAGGATTTTAGGGTGTAGGGTTTTAGGGTGTATAGGGCCTATAAGGCCCCCAAGACCAGGAGATTTGCGATCTTGGCGCCTGCTTCTGTGTAGCAAATGCAAAGTCAAGCTCCAGAACCCTGTCCCCGAGTAGCGGGGTGAAATTTCAGCCAAACCGTAAGGGCACTGATAGACCATCCCGGAGAATAGACTGCAAGAAGGCTGGTGCTACTAAACATGCCTATCTTCATCGTGAGCTTTATTTAAAGAGACCCCTTCCCCTTGCCTCCCGAGGTGTGGCGTGATCCTCGGCTGCGGACAAGTGGAAAGGGTTCGGGTTTCCAGAAGTAGGGGCGCAGGCTTCGGTAGTATTGTACTTGTAGGCCCACGACTTCTAAAGTAGCTTTCTTTAAGTGCCCTGATGTCGGCGGGGGCCCTCTTGTAGTCCCTTTTCAGGTAGGGGGCTTCTTCGTCTGGGTTTATACTGTCATTTTCCTGGTGGGCTTCAGGTTTCCGTATACCAATTTGGGAGTTTCCGAAAATAGGGGACCCTAATATAGCACCCTAAATAGTAGGATCCTGATTATAAGGACCTCAGAATAAGGTGCCCCTAAGTTTCGGAAACTCCCATTTTATCCCTGACCCAGAGAGCCCAATACCCCTTAATAAAGGAATATGGCTTAAATTTTTATAGGGCTTCATATTATGATTTAAGCCATATTCCTTAATTATATTAAGGGGTATTGGGCTCTCTGGGGAGCACCACTGACCCTAGGGCTTCAGGCGCTACCTCGCGACCGTGATCTCCAAGCGAGGTGCAACTTCGACGATGCGTACGGGCAGGCGAGAAGCTGAAACTCTACAGTAGCAGCCAGAATCTGGAGTTCCCTTTACTCTAGGGGCCTCAACAAGTACCTGTACTATTTTGGGGGATTCCTTTTCACAGTTATAGTACAGTGGGCCCCAAATTCCTATTTCATTTATTAAGGCACCTATATCAAACCCCGCTTCTCGTGCGCCCGAAAAGTGCGGAACACGTGGGAGTAAGACAGTCCTTGAGGGCTTTCCTTGTTGGGGTTCATCTTTAGAATCCTAGAAGGTAATCCCAAAATGGAAGTACTGTGGAGGCTTAGAGTAGACACCAAACGGTTTAATATACCCGATAAAGCCACATGAGTTTAGCATAGGTGAAGCTGCCAAGCGACAAACAAATATCGGTGCATAGATGCGGATTCCGAGTTTACTCTTCAGGATTGAACTTATACCTTCGTCTCCCTCACGTCACGACTCAGAATATTCGGCAGGCAACATGAAATCTGAATCCCTGCTTCAGGTATCATTTGTCCACGGCTTCCAGAAAGAGAAACTTCGCACAAGGGCTCAACACGGTTTTCCCGATCTATATAGATTCGGCCCGACTCCATGGTATATGAAACCTCCCAAAACAAAAACCTTGAGCCCTAAACTAAGTCCTGTTCTAAACATGGGTAGTTGTCTGAAACCTCCCTAAGCCCTATGTAAACACTGAACCCTAAACTACTTCCAGTTCTAGCCGTAATGCAAATGCAGCAGTCAGGATGCAAAGTCATTAAAACAATGTGGTCAGGTCCTGCTCAACGTCAACCCCATGCTGTCCAACCATCGGTCTCGGTCGCTGTCGTTATTGCTGGTTGAGTATTCAGGATCTTTTGCTAGCGATATCGGTTTCGTGACGACTGTTAAAGTTGTTATAATACTTGTCTCCTTTACAACTACTGGTATTGCCAGATTGGCTTACTCCTGATCTGAACCTGAACCCCTACACTTCTTTCTTCGGGACAGGTGCTGGTTCAATGCTCGGTATGACTGCGCGGCAACAGCAGCCGCACAAAGCAGGGTGATGATGGCTCGTGCTTGCGTATTGGAAACCAGCACCTCGCCGCAAAATCGGCTGAGGGCTGAGGGCCATAGGGTTCAGGACCCCAAACCATGTCCTTCGCCCTAGAGTACTAAAAAGCCTTTTGGGTTCAGGGTGTTGTTTAGGGTTTAGGCGCCGAGGATCAGGTTTGAGAAAGTTCCGCAGGCTTGACGTCGTGATTTGATCCCTTCAACTGTCATGCATGGGAAGGCCTCTTTCCGTCGATGACAGCGACTGCGCAGTTAGAGAACTGACTTTGGCTGCAGTTTGGAACATCCATGTTGAACTAGCCTTGGATACAGAAACCCTAAACCCTAAACCCTAAACCCTAAAACCCTAAACCCTAAACCCTAAACCCTAAACCACGGAAAAGCTTGTCAGACGTGTCCTCGACAGTTGCTGCTAGGGTTCCCACGACATTTCATTCTTTTCGTGCAGTTTTTTTACAGAACGTCCTAACTGGCAGTGCTTCATGTCAAAAAGGTGTACACTTCCCATACAGACGCCCCCGAACATCCACTCACCAACATTCCTAGTGAACCCCTAGCAAATCAAACTCTACGAGTAGCATGAATCCTGCTTCAAACAGAACCTCTACACCCCGAAAATCTCAGACCACCAAGACCCCTAACACTGAAAAGGCCCACGTCATAATCTTTGGTTGCCCAGGGGTTCAGGACCACCATGAGCCATCTACGAAGACTTGCTAAACTCTTGCGAACACTATTTCCTATGCATCGCAGCTCCCACCCCTGCCGTGGCCTGGACCGACGACAAACAGGTGGAAACGACAGTCATGAGCACAGCAACCTTTGCAGGTGCGAAGCGGTCGAACCGCTGCGGTTTAGAGGCCTCTGCCCTTCACGCTAAGCCTAGTCAGGCCCGTTTCGGTCAGATCTTTCTGAAATCATCTACAACATGGGGCCAAGAGAATCTCAGAACCTCCCTGGCCCGGTACGAAACAAAAATCGACATCGACCAAGGTTCGCGAAAACAGCTCGCTGCCATATACAACAAATGCCGTTCTCACTGCCGGTGAAAACCCGTCCACTCCAACGTTATACCAGTTGTTAACTGTTAAACCCCTAAACCCTGAAACCCTAAACCCCTACACCCTGTTCCACCACACCGGTGTGAGGAGCCTCTGGGGACGAAGCTAAATCAATGGAAGACCAACCAGGAACCCCCCCCCAAGGGCCCTTAAGGCTTTGGGTTTAAGGTTTAAGGTTTAAGGTTTAGGGTTTAGAGGTTGGTTTAGGGTTTAGGGTTCAGGGTTCAGGGTTTAGTTTAGGGCACCCGGGTGGATGATACGCTAAACCCCGAACAGGGTGCAAGAATAGCCTAACTTCCCTAAACCTTACCTAAACCTCCTAGAGTAGGTACAATACTGGCCCGGGAAACTAGGAAGAGCATTATTTTTCATGCTTTTGGGGTTCAGGTCGGGTTTAGGGATTCGGGGTATGTAGACCCTTCAAGCACCCTCTATCATACCCCAAATACCCACCATCAAGGGTCCTAAGGACTTTATTAAAGGGACCTTGATGGGTCCTGGTAAAAGCCCTGAAATCAGAAATCCGGAGTCACAAGGCCCTTCTTTGACGAGCAGCCGCGGACACGGAGGGGTGCTTCCGAAACTGGTCCCTCGGACTCGTATAGGGTACTTGGAGGTTCATGGCTCGTTATAAGTGGGGATATTATCATTAGGGTAACTATGGTTATACCCACCAGCTTTGGCGCGTGGCTATAACCCCTGTTCGGGGACTTATAACCCGAGCTTTGGCGCGTGGCTATAACCCCTGTTCGGGGACTTATAACCCGACTTGTTACTGCCCATGAACCTCCAAGTAGGGTTGTTTAAGGTTCAGGGCTAGGCCACCCAAGCTTTAGTATTCCGGGGGCGGGGCAGGGTGCAATCTGCCTCTAACTTTGTTGTCTCTGTCTAGCGTTTCGTCGCCGTTGCTGTCTCTGCTTCCTTCTTTCTCTCTCGCTCTCTCTCTCTCTCTCTCTCTATCTTTGTCTGTCTCTCTGCTTTCTTTCTCTGTCTCTTTCTCCCCTTCTGTTTCTCTCTCCAATCTCTCCCCCTAGCTTCGTCTCTCCTCTCTCTCAACAGCATACACACGCAGACATCTGACCATTGATTGAGGTATGAAATGATATGAACCTACATGCATGACAGCCTGTGCGGTGCTGCAGTTTACCGCCACACGTAGCCATGCAACGATCATGCACCGGTTCCTCCATGTACAATGTACACTTGCTCAAAGATTCAAGTCATTGCTTGGTCGCATGTGCCACACATGCAATTTGCAGAGGCACGCGCCGACAAACGTGCACGCGATTGAACACGGTGTGTAAATTTGCATTGTCTCGCAAGATTGACTTATTTGACCCGGAGCCTTTGGCTCTAAACCCCTATACTGCTAAACCCCACCCTAAACCCCGAAAACCCCTGAACTCTTAACCCCTAAACCCTAAACCCCAAACCCCTAAGTTCCCCCAGCACCTGGCTCAATGTCCCCAAACTCTTAATCCCGAATGCCTATCCTAGTTCATGGTTGGGATGGGGTTAAAAATATAAATTGTTTTCCTTGTTGGGTTGAAGTACCCATAAACATGTAAAATGATACCCAACTATTACAGAGTATCTCCGATGCCCAAGCCCCAAACTCGGAATCCCAACAGAAACAGAGGGAGCCGAATTACAAGTAATACTTTCGGCGATGCTCCCCGGTGTAGTCATACGAGTATCGAACCAGCAAGTTGGGGTTGAAAGTTTAGGGTTCAGGGCTTAGGGTTTTGGGACTACAGACGACTGAAGTCAAGCCACATTTTACACCTTTCCTTCGCCCAGTGGCAGCTTGGCGCGGCAGCAACGAGCCTCCGGAAGTCTTTCTTCAGGCATCCACCCCCAAAGGGCTGGCAGAAGCAGGCTGACCTGGTTTACACGGCTTGGTGGGTTCGTGGTGTAAGGCCGTAGTTTAGTGCTTAGGGGCTTCGATGGGGCTTCTACAGGAATTCGCCGCTTTTTCCTCCTACTTAGCAAAAAGGAGCTCGCATTGCAAATCAATTGGGGCTTACGGTTTCTTGATTGACTGCCATGGGATTTTACTGGGTCTGGAAGGTCTCGAAGTTGCTCTGCTCGCACATGGTACGCAATTGGGCGTACCATGGGGGCCTCAACACTGTTCTAGACTCATAATAAGGAGCCCCCAAAATAGTATTGGTAATTCTTTCGGCCCATCTATTATGCGCACTTGCAGCATTTGAACACCACTGCCTTGATGCTCTTCTTGTGCTGAAGCTGTTTATCTGGTTCGGGCCATTTCTTCGCGATGTTGTGTTGAGGACTGAAGATCTGAGGTCCCACAGGCCAGTAGCACAAGCTCTCTTACGACCAGCTTGCGAACGAATGCTTTGGAGATTGAGAATAACCTGAGCCTTAGCTGCATGGGGTTAGAAGTCATCTCTCTGCAAGCCGACACCGGAGTTGAGGAGTTGGGGCTTAGGTTCTGACTATCGAAAGTTCTCAAGGCTCTCGTGGTCTGTTGACCTGTAGCTGAGCCGGCCTATGCTTGGAAACCGAAGGAGAGTTCATGGCTGCCGAGACGCCGAGCATGCCGTCATGCTAAGCAGCACTTTCTGCGGCGAAAACCATTCGACGAGCGCCCCCTTCAAACTTGAAGACCTGCGCGCTCTTGGATTTCGGGGTTTAGGGTTTAGTGTTTCAAGTTGCCAGGTGCTTTTGTCGGGACTTTTGCGAGTAACGCTATACCTTTGAAGAGGGTTTGCAGGGTTTGCGGCTTAGGGCTTGGAAGGCTTTCTATAGCCCTCAACCTCTGCATCTGGTTGCAGACCTCTGTCAGATTGTGGGCTTCTCCCGCCCTGCGCTTCCCACTCTTTTCTTCCGCTGGGCCCTTCGGCTTAAACTCTGGCCCAACCCTGCGGCCAGAATACAAGGCACATCTTATTAATGATGTTCTCATACCGTGCGAGAACAACAGCAAAACGAGGAAGACACAAAGAAAGGAGGGCCCATCTCGGAATCCTATGCGTCCTTGTATACCCCAAAGCTCAATCACCAAAATCCTAAACCGTTGATGGACAAATCTTGCAGTGAATCGAAGACCCCTAACGATGGCAACTACGGTGCAGGCCTGAACAAATGCAGGCCTAAACAAACCCTAATAAAAACCATACACTCCCCAGGTGAAAGCCGAAAGCATGTAAAGCGACTTTCCATGTTCTGGCAGTTTGGGTCTTTTGCTTTAGCGAAGCGTGAAGCTTCCACAACACTTTGGGGAACTGTATGTATACCTTAGAAGCTGCCCCCACCCTGTAATAGTGACTACTGTATAAGGATTACATTAGGGCCCTATTATATTCCTTTTGGGGCTATAAACCCTAAACCCCCAAACCCTAAGCCCTAAACCCTAAACCCTAATAGCCCTTAGAAGGAGACCCTAAACCCTAAACCCTAAACCGGATCGAATCCATCGGCACTGACTTCGGCACGGAACTTTGGAAACCTGGGGCCCCCGGCGCCAAACCGAAGATAGCCGAGACGCCCCAAAACAGCGACTGCCTGAGCGTATCTTGAAGCCCAGGGGCTTCAGCAAAGCCTCTACCGTACTAGGACCCCCCCAACAAGGACCCTGTAATAGCGTCCTTATGGCCCGTAATTGTGGGTATTTGGGGTATATTGGAGGGTACTTGCAGAGGTCTAGGTATGCCCAAAACCCTAAACCCCAAGCCCCTAAACCCTAAAGCCTTCAGATGGTGAGGGTTTCGGTTTCAGGCGTAGGAGCATAAGGCTTGAGGGGTTTTAGGTTTCACGGTTTGGAGGCAGGTGGGCGAAGAGTGTAGGCCCAAGGCTTTTATTCCGCACCTGAGGCTTGCTGTGAAATCCCGTTGCAGCAGTGAGATTGGTAGTATGACACCCTTACTAGTGACCCTCGATCTCTTCGGTCGCATGATTCAGTGTAAATAACGAAACATAACCTTGCTGATGTTGAAACTCACACATACCCGCAGCAAACAACCAAAGCAACTCAAGACCCATAGACTGCGCCTGCGAAATCCCGAAGCACAAGACAGAACAACCGACACACTTCTGTCACTCACCGGAGACGATTGATGATATAAATCCTGCATGACCCATAATAAGGAATATACCAGAATTCCCATAGTTTAGGGCCCTTAAGGTAATGCAGGATTTATATCATCAACCGAGAGCACTCAGGTATGCCCAGGTACATGGAATGATGGGGTGTCAGGGTTAGGAGCAGACAGGATTCTCGTGTGAGAACTGTCTGAGTAAAGGAAATGCAGCAGAATTGGGTGGCTACCCAAAGGCCGAAACCTACATGAAACATTCAAGCCAACATTCTCCTAAACCGGAACTACACTTTGCAAAATTAAACCACAATTCCTGAAGCTTACGGCCGGGAACCCGTACCCAGAGGCTCCAGGTATTTCCTTTTTGGGATTACTTTATAGGATTCGATATATGAAGCCCTCAAAAAGGAACTACTGTGGAGCCTTAGGGTACAGCCCAACTTTAACGTGATTCCACGGCTCTTCATTAGCAGCTGCCTCCACCCTGTAATAGTGACTACAAGGATTATATTAGGGCCTTGTTATATTCCTATTATACCACTATTACAGGGTGGGGGCCCCTTCTGAGCTATTCAGGAAGGCAGCAAATCGGACGCCAAGAAGTTCAAACTTTCTAAGATAGAGCTAATATATAAGGCCAAAAAGTTTAAAGTTCCCCTGTTCACGATGTAAGATTCAGGAAGGCAGCAAATCGGACGCATGCTTCGGGACTTCGCGCGAGAGTTCGGCGGCCTCGCGGAGTGTTCAGCCATGGGTAGTTCGCTTAATTAGAGCCCCTTTTTTAAGTCACAAAAATAGTAGTACGGCACCCTTATAAAAAAGGACCCTTACAAGGTGGCCAACATTCATAATTAGAGAACTGCACATAATATGGCAAACCAAACCGTAAACAAGCTCCGTGGAAGCCCACCTACCGTAGTAGCATGCCGGAGTGTAGAGACACATAATATAGCATAGGCGCCTACACTCTGTAGTCGAAATAGAGAACCCTCTGAATGTTGTCGCAAATAACGCAAGCTTCCTTGATGTCAGGCATCTGAGCTGGGTTATACAGGGGCCGAATGAATAGTTACAGCAGGGTGTAGGGGTATGCTACTTTGACCGTATAAGGAGCATGAAGGAATTCTCTTGCTAACTGCTCCGACCCCTACACTCGGGGGCTCCAGAAAGATAGAAACTCGACCCTGATCCACGACGGATTTGGGGTGTTTGGATTTATTGGACGGTGTAGCATGCACAGGAGGGTCCCTAACCCATCCTTCTGGTTGTGCGTTCCTTGTCTTGGCAATCGGGGTCCTGTACAAAGGGCGAGCCCTCGCAGGAATTCAAGGGCTGTTCGACACTTGGGGATTTGGACCTGCGAATGGAGCCCCACCTGGAACGACATTAGCCTCCGACCGAGGTTCCTGTGGCGGTAGAGCGAAACCCCAAATCCCAAAGTAGGGTCGAAACTTTGAGGTCAACAGGCAGAGCGGCTAGGGCATAAAGCTCTGGAGTCAGATCTGCTGTCGAAAAACAAGAGCAGGCTTCGTACACACATATAGAAACCCTCAGAAGCCCAGCAAGCTAAGTAGGAGGCTACTGGGCTATGGACACTATGGGGTTACATCATGCATAAGCCCTAGGCGCCGACCCCACACAAGCTACCCGTTCGGAGTGTCAGAAAATCAACCTGCAATTGTCCGTTCCTCACTTAGAAAACCACAAGGATCACCGAGCGAAAGAAACACCCATGTTCAGATCATGCCCAGGATCAGGCCCGTCTGAAACATGCCGCAAAGATAGGGGTGTAATAACTATAGGGGCCTAAATAATTAGCAACATTATTGTGGGGTTCCTGATTATAATTATAGTATCTAAATAATTAGCAACATTATTGTGGGGTTCCTCATTATAACTATAGTATAATGGGGCCCCAAAACCCTATTCTAATTATTCAGGTCCTATGTTAGACAGTCCAATTTCCCGCACCGTACCTTGCCATCCACGATCACGTCCGTGGTGGAGACCGAGAGGTTAATCACAACCATCACAACCACCTGGGTAGTTGTCAAAATGGGAGTTTCCGAAAATTAGGGGTACCTTATTTTGGGGTCCTTATAATAAGGATCCTATTATTTAGGGTACTATATTAGGGTCCCCTATTTTCTGAAATTCCCAGTTGTCAAAATTAAGGTTCCTTTTTTGGGTACCCTAAAAACTAGGTGCCGTATTATAATAGGGACCCAAAAGGGGCGAGAATTTTGACAACCACCCACCTGGAAAATCGGTCTTAGCCCCTAGCCATTCCCGAGGTTTGATCCAAATAATTACTCTAGGTTGGCCCTTTGAAGCCTCTCAAAAATATTCGTAAATAGGGTCCTATTCAGCCCAATAAGGGAAAATATGAAATATCCCAAAGGCTTACCTAGTACTGCTTGTGGGTTCGAAGCACTTTCTTGTCTGGCTAGCGCCGACCACGGGCTCGTCTTAAACAGCTGATCAGCTGTACGACGCAGAGAGCGACTTGGAAGGGAGGCGTGCGAGCAAGGCGCTTGCAACGCCATCCTCCTCGTAGGAGGATCTACAGGTACAGGTACAGGCCAAAAACTACAATAGAAGGGGCCTTATCTCTAAAGCCGCATAGTAGTTCCTTTCTGGGATTACCTTATAGCATTCTAAAAATGAACCACGAAAAGGAACTACTATCTGGCCTTAAGGAAAACCCCAAATCCTCAACCCAACACCAGGAGGAGGCACATGGCAAGAGCTCCGCCATGAGAGTCAAACCCTGAACCCCCTCAAGACGAGAGTGGCGGTCTTGCCTTTCCCAACGGATTAGAGTTTAAAGTTTAAGTTTAGAGTTCAGGGTTTAGAGTTTAGGGTTTTGAGTTTACGGTATACGGCTTAGGGCTCAGAGTTTAGGGCTTAGGCTCAAGATCATACGAAGTAGATAAGAAGTCGACTCGTCAGCTTGACGTTCGGGATTCGGGATTCTTCGGGTATGGAGGTTCATCACAGCTCCTGTGTCGGGGGCATAGCCATGTTCAGGACCAGGCATGGCACTCAGCCATCCTTGCCCATGCTGCTACGGTTGATGATATAAATCCTGCATGACCCATTATAAGGAATATACCATAGTTCCCATAGTTTAGGGTCCTTAAGGTAATGCAGGATTTATATCATCAGCCGTATTACTCAGCATGCTACGCCCAAAGTGCTGCATAGGGGAAAGAGCCTGTAGAAGCCTTAAAACTCGGAGTCCCCCTTCTATTCCTAAGTTGGCCCGGAAATGGTACTGCAAGGAAAGACCTACATGCGTCGTTCATGGCAAGCTTACAGAGGAACCCTGCTTTCGAGGAGGTCTCATGGCAGATCCGCAGAGTTAGAGGACGCCTGACTCAAGCCCCAAGCCAAGGACGGCAAAGGACTTGAAACAACAAGTAGAATCGATCGGACATGCACCACCATCTCATGTCTGCAAGCAATTAAGATGTAAGAGTTACAGTAAAGCTGAAACCTACTTCCCAAAACGGGGGCCAAAGCGCCCCGGACATCCACCCGACACTGCACAAAGAAGCTTAAGGTTCAAGGATCACGCCTCAATTCCAGAATAAGCGTGCAGAACGATGACCTCTTAGGCTGCCCATCATGGGGAACCTACTGTTAAAGAAGAGGGTGTCTTTTGATCATTTTAACCAGGAGCATAAATTACACTATACCAGTATGCCAGTAATTCTACGAAGGGCTATAAGTGGGAAGCCCTGAACCCCATTACTAAACCCCGTTACTATTTGCAGTTATTCCTAGACACGAGATTTCAAACGCCAGACGATAACGAGGAGCTCCCTCTCTCTCCCAGAGGGTCCCTTCAGACTGCCATTGTGGAATCAAGCCCCCAAGACATCCTAATTTTGGTGTTGGGGCCACAATTCCATCATAGTCGCATACATTATTTAAGTATATACATATACATATATATATATATATGTTTATTTTTCATTTACTTATGCATTTATCTATGGACCCTCTATCTCTAGCTGGGCCACCAGGGCAGCAGCTGGCAATGCCAAGGTCCCCAGCAAAATGTACGAGGCGAAGCCTCCAGCTGCCTTTTGTTTCGAGTGTTCAATGTTTTTTTCCTCTCCTACATGGAAGTTTCCGAAAATTAGGGGTACCTTATTTGGGGTCCTTATAATAAGGATCCTATTATGTAGGGTACTATATAAGGGTCCCCTATTTTCGGAAACTCCCACATCGCAAGGACGAGGCCCGCATTGCAGGGTTCAGGGCTTAGATTTAAGGGTTGATTTCGGTTTAGGGCTTTGTGGTTAGACGTTGCTTCTTTTATGAACGTCCCGTGTCCGTCGCGCGTAGATCCGGGATCCTGTATTCCGCTGTGAGAGAGGCTGGGGCTTCGAGGCTTTAGAGGGTTCGGAGTTCCTAAACCCTAAACCCTAAACCCTAAACCCTAAACCCTAAACCCTAAACCGGCTTTCTGCTTCGAGTTAAAGGGGTTTTGACTCTCACAACTAGGACAGGCCGGGCGAGGCATCTGAGCAACGATGGCACATCCGGCAGCTGCGTATAGGGTTTAGGATTTATAGCCTCTTTTTCTCAGGGCCTCCTTTCCCAAGTAAGCACAGAGCAACTTGGGTTTAGGGTTTAGGGCACCATCACAGGGGTTTTAGAGCTTCAGGCCGTGAACTTTGTGTGGAACGTTTCGGTTCCTAGCTCAGCCGAGACGCTTTTGGGCTTGGGGTTAATCCATCTACGGCCTCTGATGCCGATTCTAGTGCCAGAATGAAGCAAGGAGCCTCACGAGGGCCTGAATAAACCAAAGGAGCGTGTCCGTTTTCTGGGCGAACAAAATGATAGCTACGGTTGATGATGTAAACCCTGCAGTACCTTGAGGACCCTAAACTATGGGAATTATGGTATATTCATTTTATGGGTAATGCAGGATTTGTATCATCAACGTATCTAATTGCGCATTCTATCACCAAACACTCCGCCAGTGCTCAGTCGACAACAGAAGGTGCAGTTCTACTCTTCTCGTGAAGTTACTCAGTCGACACCAGTTTCTGAGTTTAGGGTTTAGGGTCCCTACAGTAAACCCTAGACTCTAAACTGAGAAACTGAAAACTACAAGTGCTGAAGAACGGTTGCAGCGGCCCAAAACTCCGGCTGCCAGGCAGCACGAAAGCAAGCAGGCACATCTTCAGCATAGCATAGTCTATTATAGTTCTTTTCTATAATATACTATGTTAATGCAAACCGGCTGCGGCAACGACGATGTAGGATCCTCGCTTGAGCGACAAAACATCACCGTCCAGGCACATGAGCACCGCTGCTGCTCCACATGTCTGCCTGTAGCTACAGAATGTCGACTTGCATAAACTCTCAGGCGTCATGTCTCCGTCGAGCTATGCGCAGACCAGGTGGCGGCGGTGGTAGCCGCAGAAAGCGATACCATCGGACAGCATGCCCATGAAAGGCCTGAGCGACGTTCGTTAAGGGCTTAGGGTTTGGGGATTCGGGTTTAGGGTTCGTTGTGCTCTTCTGGTGCTTTGACATGGATGGCGGAGACGCAGAAGACAGCTCGCGCGCAAAGACCCTCAACCCTCACCCTAAAATTGAAAGCAAGTGGCTTCATGTTCCAAGGAAGCCCGGCAGCTGTGGTTAGACGTCCCATGGTAGCACCATCCAGTCCCAACACATCCTTGTGCAACAAGCTCCAGTCTTGTCAACAGGTTTAATCCCGAAACATAGGGGGCCTGTATCAATTAGAATAGGATTTTGGGATGGATGCGGACATGAGTCTGGGGCGACGAAGGCTTCAGATGAGAATAGGGTTTCGGGGTGTATTACACTATACTTAAATAAAGGAAGTCTAAAACTAATGTTGGTAGTATTCTCGGCCCCTAGGGGCAGAGCTCTCTCTAAACATATGGCAATGCATCCAGTGACACTGCAGGCGATTCACTACAGCATGAGTTGCGGTATTAGAGATGGTCGAACCGTAATATACATGAAAGAAAGAAGGAACCGAAGATAACATAACACTCAACGTATTTTGTATATTACCACAGATTGCCCGATAGAATGCCACTCATCATCATGGTCCTTATCACCCCGACCATAATCAACATTGAACCACCATCATCACATTTAGGCTGAGCACGTGCAAGTATAGTCAGTTCATTCAGAGCCGCGTGAAGCAGTCTCCCATGTGGCACTCTAGACCTCGGGCTCATATAATGTAAAATGGGAGTTTCCGACAACAGGGGGACCAACATCTAGTACCGTCAATAGTCGGATCCTTATTCTAAGGATCCCCAAATACGGTACCCCTTCTTTTCGTAAACTCCCAAATAGAAGGTCATATATTCCCCAGTATTGCAGAGGTTGACAGCAGGTGGTCTGAAGTAGGGTTTATGGTTTCGGGTTTAGCTAATATGGCAGCATTAGTTCAAGATCCTGAGAATCTCAAGGGGCCATACTGCCAAGAGCTAGGAGTTATGATTGAAAAGAAGGCCTTGACACTTGGAACAAGGCCTTGGGCCAGATTATAATACATCGATAATCAGAGGGCCTCATGAGTAGCCCCTCTATTGCACCCCTTCTTAACCGCTTTACATTATGGGGTCCTGACCATACGATGGATAAGCAAAAAAAGTAATCCCAATCGAACATGGTGTCATAATTAAACACCGACATTCTCGAGACTGAACATATTCTTCTGAAACCTTGGATGAGTTTAGCGTATAGGGATTGGGTTTCGTACAAGGGTTTAGGCTTCGGGCTTCCGGTTTAGGTTGACTTAGGGATCGGGATTTAAGCCTTCAGGGTTTCGGTTTGGGTATCAGGCTAAGCCTTTCGGGGCAGTGGGCGGGGAAATGTCCGTCTGGCATCCAGCATAACACAAGAATGGCTGCGGTATGGTATTAAGGATCTGCTACGGCACTGAGTTCCCCTGTTTCCCAAACTCCCAGTCGAGGCTCTTTCATGTAGAAGCGAATGGCGAAGCCCCCTATGGCCCATGCAACGCTCTGGTTGACTCCATAGGTTAGCACTGCAAAGGGGATGAAGTTGCCAAAGGCTGCCTGCCAGGCCGGTATGGTAGGAGCCTTAACAACATAAGTTCGGGACTAAAAGGGGATATCCGTACTAAGTAGTCCGGCTACCGACTACCCTTATCGTGTCAGCCATAGCTCTTTATTCTAACCCTGTGAGGTCACAGCTCAAAAACCCCGATTCACCAGGCATACTCGGAGCATCGGGCATTGAGACTAGCAGAAGAACATCTACCTACTGAGTAGCACCACACCCAACCCTAAACCCAAAACCAGCACTCACCAAGAAATTGAAAAATGGCTGGTCATTCCATGGATGCGCTCTAGAAGTTTCAGTGCGCCGGTATTATTTACAAGTATTCCTGTGGACTTTCTTAACATAATTGGTATCGCTGAATATGCTAGTACACTTCATTTATCTATGGTGTTGCTAATGTCATTGGAAATGCTAGATTTTTGGAAGCCTTAAACCCTAAACCCCTAAACCCTAACGTTTACCTAAACCCTAACCCCTAAAACCCTAAACCCCAGGACCTGGCTCCTGGCCACAGTCTATTGTAAACCCCATAAAGGGAACTCCAGAAAGTTGGAATATGGATTAATGGTAGGATCCCCTATAAATTACCTTAAAGGGGTTACGATAATGATATTCCAACTTTCTGGCTTCTACTGTAAAGTTCGAAACCAGATGAAGGACAAATAGTGCGGGGATTCCCCATACGTGACTCTTAAGGATCGAGGCGATTGGGTTTCCAACTTTTGGGCTTTCTACTGCAAGACCCCTATATTCTCATACCCCTATAGTATATTACCCTGATAGACCCCTTTAAAGGAACCCTAGGAACCCGGGTCTCCAACTTTTGGGCTTGTACTGTAATCTCCACAGCGAGCCACTGGTTGAAGCAGGTCTGGACTCGCGAACTTCTAGGTTCTTGTTGAGGGATTTAGTTTAAGTTACCATACTTTAGGTTCCTTTAAGGCTTCCTTTAAGAGATTTATAAGGGTTCCTTTAAGGGTATAGCGATTTAATTTAAGTTACCGTACTAAGGAAACCATGTTATTTGCTATAGGTTCCTATTATGTTCCTTAACAAGAACCCACGCTTCTAGTGGAGAGTTTGGGGGTCCCAGGTTTGAGCTGTAAAACCACGGTTTTTAAGGTTTGAACCCTAAACCCCTAAACACTAAAACCTGAACCCCTAAACCCCTAAACCCTGAACCCGAAACCTCCAAACCTTAACCCCTAAAGACAAACCCCGAGCCCTAAACCCCCAAACCCTGCACCCTCAAGACTGTCTGGTTCTTAGTAGGGAATGGGGGAGTGGAGTATTGGAACTCGACTGCAGGGGACCTTCGGGGATTATCATAGGGATCCATTCTCCCCGCTCCCTACTAAGCACCAGACAGAAGAGGTTTAAGTGGGAAACCCGGGTTCTAAAGGAGTCGATCAGGGTAATATACTATAAGGGTATTATAAGGGTTTAGGGTTTAGGGTTTAGGGTTTAGGGTTTAGGGTATTATAATATAGGGGTCTTACAGTAGAAGCGCAAATATTGGAAACCAATAGCCTCAATCCTTAAGAGTCATGTTTAGGGAATCCCATCACTATTTGGCCTTCATCCGGTTTCCAACTTTATGGGGTTTACTGTAGGGTTCAGGAACTTCGGGTTCAGAGTTTGGGTTTCAGGCTGCTGAAACATGGCCGTGGCTCTTGCTCCTTTAAACTGTCTGGTGCTTAGTATTAGTAGAGAATGGGGAATGGATCGCTATAGTAGTCCACCAATAATAGTCTCCCTAATCCATTCCCCCATTCCCTAGCAAGAACCAGACAGTACATGTCTCCCTCAACCCCAAGCTCTAAACCACATTAGCAACATCAACATAATGCCTGTTATACCAGAAATATAGTAGATGTCAGATGACTCTCGAATGAACAATGCTAGTCAGTATCAGTAACAACGATAGAACTGAAATGGTAAGAATATCAATCGTAAAGATAAGAACAGCGAGACAGAGCCCCTAAGGCCCAAGGGCAGACTGCATGCCCCCTTCCTCCCCCACGTGCTCGGAAGATGTCTTGGGCTTGGGTTCCAAGCTCTACTAAAGTCGTGTAGGATCCAATCGTGCCGCAATATGATGACTTCAAGATCAAGCAAGGGTTCCGGTGGATGTCGCAGTATATGTCGGTATCGGCAGTTACGAAACAGGGTGTAGGGTATCAGTTTGAGGCAACCGACAAGTTCACACATCAAGCATTGAAGCTCTTGTCTCTATCAGCCCATCCCACGATGAGATGAGGTACGTAGAGCTCACGAAGCCAGTGCCAGCAACATCTCCGCTTCGCCTGACTTCAGGGCTCCAACTCTTAGGAGTCAAAATATCAGAACCCACTTCTCGCGGCGTACCTGCCTCTCAATGCGGTTTTCGGGTTTATGACAGGACCCTGCCGAAAACAGCAGTTATGATTCACATTGCAGCATGAGCATGGATTGTGTGCTACCGAACACTCCTCAACAGCAGGGCCTTCTCGTTTAACGAGGGGTGCAAACGTAGGAGTCACAGACACACAAGATCGAAACAAACAACGACGATCTCCTGAACTACATATCTGACATCGGACAACACACACTCTGCAATTGTGAAGGAACCTCAACTCTACACCCCAAGCACTCAGGGTTGGTTTCCGCGCTTCCAGTCCCAGGCTTTAAAGGGAATTAGGGGTGTATGGCTTCATGTACTTACCGCGTATGACTGTGCGGCAACAAGACGGGCCTGGCAGGCACGACTTTATGATTTTTTTAATATCTGAACTCGGTAGATGCTGCCGGCGAGGCTTACAGTGCAGCTTGGACGGCATCTTCGGACTGCTATCTTTGAAGAAGTCATGGCAAGTCGTGCATGACTTCAATGCAGGCGTCAGGCTACATTTCCCTGAATAAGCGGTACCCCAAACTTCCATAACCCACTTTTTGCAGGTTCCAACTATCAAGCCCCCACTTTGGCCAAATGTTCAGATTCTCTGGGCAAGAGTTTGGATGTAAGGGTTCAGGCACGGCCGGGAGCTTCATGTCTTCAGCCCAAACCAAATCAAAAATGCCCTAAACCGAAACCCTAAACCCTGATTACTTTGGGGTATCGACCCGGGGGTTGCCCTTGTTTTGGTAACGTTAGGCCCAGACTTCGAAGTAACCATAGCGACAACAGTAGAGACTTGTATGTTATAGTTGCTTCTTTAAGGATTCGGTCAAAACAAGTGTTCTGGTATGGTACTCCAGCAACCACTTAGAGGTTCATGGGTAGTTATAAGTTGGGCTATAATCAGGGTAGCTATGGTTATAACCCGTGTTAGCGGACTTACAACCCCATTCATAACTACCCATGAAGCATTCATAACTACCCATCAATCTTCAAGAGGCCTTCTCTGCAACTGGAATTTCTTTCGTTGGCTCCTCCTCTTCCAGCTCGCTGCTGACCTCGACAAGAAAACAGTTCTATGATTTGCCTTAGCCCACCTGCAGACCTAAGCCGCTCAAATCATACTGGGGGACTCTCCGCAATGCAATTGTTTGAAGAACTTCTCCAACCCAGCTCAGTTGATGTTGCTGCCCGCAACATCTTCAGCATTCCTCAACCTTCGCTACAGAAGCAACCTGAGCATGAAGAAAGGACAAGGACAGTCTTGCTCACCGTAGTCGTAACCGCGATGATGGCAGCAATTCAACTTTTAAAGATGTACGGCTTGGATGCTGGTACATAAGAGTAGTTGTCAAAGTTATGGTCCTTCTTTGGGTACCCTAAATAATAGATGCCGTATTAAAATAAGGACCCAAATAGGGACCATAATTTTGACAACCACCCACAAGGTTTGGGGCCCGGCGTTCTAGAGGGGGGAAATTGAACTTCGAGGAGCTTGTCATCCAGGAGTGTCCCAGAGAGCCCAATACCCCTTAATTAAGGAATATGGCTTAAAATATATAGGGCTTCATATTATGATTTAAGCTATATTCCTTAATTATAAAGGGTATTGGGCTCTCTGAGTGCCTTGCAACAGGCAGTGCAATCCGAGGCCCAGCGGATCTCTCGAAAGCTTCGGCCGTGACTCTATATGCCAACGGTAACCCAAAATCCATGGAGACCAGCCGAGAACAAAGGCACCTTGAGGCTGAAGGTGATGGGCCCCGTATCTCTTGAAGAGCCCTAGCCCGTTGGAATCGACTTCTACGTCCATGGTAGAAGTTGGAGTTCGAAGGACTCAACTCGACAACAATTTTCTGTTTGAGTCAAAATCCTTGGGCTCCACTCCCTCACCTGTGTAAGCGGCATCGGCACTGGGATGACCAAAACTGGATTGAACATGCCATATATAAGGCTCAAGGGAGGAGCCAACCGGGATCTACTACTGATGACTCCGCGCCTAGCTTCGATAACCTTGGTGTTAGGCTAAAGCATCAAAATGTCCAGGGGCCGTGTCTGTTGTAGAGACTGTTCCGCCACTCTTGGTCCTTGGCCGGCGGATGCTTTTCGTGGGGCTACTTTAAAGGCTGCTCAGGAGAACTACCTACGCTAGAGATAAAGTAAACCCTAATCTCAAAATTTCCAGCCTGAAACGACACTGTGAAGCACCAGCCTCAAGCAACTCCTTCTACGGCGATTCCCAAAACCTGGCACGAAACCGGAAACTTGGGACTTAATGTCATAGGTGAGCCTGAGAAGACCATGACTTTAACGCAAAGCCTGTCAAGACAACAAATGGGTTGAGACAAGACTCGGAATTCTTTCGGACAGCTTTGGAGAGTCAGATTGCTGATCCATGGCTCTGTTTGGCCTGACAGGAGCGGTCTCTGAAGGACCGATGTGCCTATGTAGCATGCACTTATGCCTTGCAGGGTTGCCTACAATGGGGCACGGTAAGGCCAACAGATATACTGCAAATTTGCATGAACCGACTGGGAGTGCGCACTTTCGAGATGCGTAGCCATCAGGAGATGCAAAAGCTTTCAGAACGACCGGTTGCTGCGTTGAATCGGTAGGGTCTCTGGGTGGAGCTGTGAAATCCGTCTATCGCAGGCAGTAGACAAAGCCCAAGCCCTGAATCCCTAAATACCCAAGCCGCTAGATTGGATAACTCGCGACAACTCCGCCTAAGACATGCCCAGAGAGCCCAATACTCCTTAATTACGGAATATAGCTTAAATCATAATATGAAGCCCTATATAATATTTTAAGCCATATTCCTTAATTAAAGGGTATTGGGCTCTCTGGGTGTCTCTCTTCGGGCCGCCATTCTTCATGCGGGGCTGGGAACTGAGAGGTGTCTATCGCAAACCAGACCTGTCAGTTGCACCCTCTTCGAACAAAGCACAGCATCTTCAATCAGATGCGCACCGAAGGATTCCTCGGTGTAGTTTGGAGGATGAAACCCTCCTCGTAAAACACCATCAACTTAACGTGCAACAACAGAAACCATGAGCCTTTACTAAGGGCAAAACGGTGAGGGGTAACGGCCTGCGGGGGAAGGACAGCCCTTACGCGAACTTCGTTTTAAGCAAACGGCTGCCGCGAACTTCGTAGAAGGTCCGGGGGTTCGTAGTGGGTTCGTGGGATTCTGTGTCTTCGGCAACAGCTGTGGGTAATGTGAGGATTGTGAAGCAGCAGGGGGGCTGGGGGGGACAACGTGATTCTGGAGAACTTTGTTTGTAGTAATCAATCAAATGCATCTACTTTTTCAAAGGAAGCTTTTCTATGGCTCCAACAGAGAAACAAAAATAAATTGTATTAGCAGGAATCAAGAAATCAAAAACACCACTGCAAAACCTGGGTGTATCTTTAAATTACCACCGCAGCCTTTTGGACATGAAATGACATGGACACAGCAGGGGGAGCAGGCAGGGTGTTTCATTTTGATTGGCAGTCAGGATATTCGGAAACTATCCTTCCAATTGGTAGAACATATCTAGTAAAGGTTCACATAGACGTTTGCTCGACAAGTATGAATCATTCTTAGTGGATTCCACAAATAGAATTCAATTAAACCGAATCGAAGGCGAAGCCGAAGTCGTCGCCAGGAGAGAGACCAAGACGCCGGGAGATCCATCAACCTGGGCAGCTGTCATGACACGGTTGTCTGAACAAGAAAAGAATCGGCGAGGCAACTTCCTGCAGTTAACATCCTTCCGACATGAGCGAAACTGTGATTGAGTTGCGGGCTGAGAAGTCCCGGTTTCGGCATAGCCTGGCAAGCAGCAACAATGAGAAACAACAGGCTTGAGCGATCAACCAAATTTGCCGCACAGTCAGCCGAGACAGCAGTATTTTTTCATGCCTTGAGGCGGCTTCAGAGAGATTTTCACAGTCAGCCTACCGCCAGCCATGCACTTGCATCCCCATGTTCGACAATGGCAAGGCCTTCAGTGGAACGACGATTTGCATCCTACTACTACATGTTATGAAAACATGAGTATGTATGTGTACATCACACGACCAAGGCCACAGCGAATGACATGGAGAATTCAGTGTCCGGGCTGGCCCCAGCGGCGACATGCCATCCGAGATCATGAAAATCTGAAGCTGTGAATGAGATTTTCACAGTCAGCCTACCGCCAGCGATGCACTTGATCCCCATGTTCGATAATGATGGCAAGGCCTTTAGTGGAAGGACGATTTGCATCCTACGACTATATGTTAGGTATACATGAGTATGTGTACAGTACACGACCAAGGCCACTGCGAATGACATGGAGAATTCAGTGTCCGGGCTGGCCCCAGCGGCGACATGCCATCCGAGCTCATCAAAATCTGAAGCTGTGAGTTAGGCTACCGCCAGCGATGCACTTGCATCCCCATGTTCGATGATGGCAAGACCTTTAGTCGAAGGACGATTTAATGCATCCTACTACTAACATGAGTATGTAAACAGTATACGACCAAGGCCACAGCGAATGACATGGAGAATTCAGTGTCCGGGCTGGCCCCAGCGGCGACATGCCATCCGAGCTCATGAAAATCTGAAGCTGTGAGTGAGGCTACCGCCAGCGATGCACTTGCATCCCCATGTTCGATGATGGCAAGGCCTTTAGTGGAAGGACGATTTGCACCCTACTACTAAGATGAGGATGTATACAGTACACGACCAAGGCCACTGCGAATGACATGGAGAATTCAGTGACCGGGCTGGCCCCAGCGGCGACATGCCATCCGAGCTCATCAAAATCTGAAGCTGTGAGTTAGGCTACCGCCAGCGATGCACTTGCATCCCCATGTTCGATGATGGCAAGGCCTTTAGTCGAAGGACGATTTGCATCCTACTACTGACTAACATGAGTATGTGTACAGTACACGACCAAGGCCACAGCGAATGACACGGGGACTTCAGTGTCCGGGCTGGCCCCAGCAGACAATCTCTCATCAGGCTAGAGAGTCACTGCAAAAACAACGGCCTTTGTCGAATACGACGTGTTGCAGTAGTACATCACCACTAGTCTAGTAGTAGTAGTACTACTACTACTACTACTACTACCACTACCACTACTACTACTAGTAGTACTACTACTACTACTACAACTACTACTACCTTTAGGACTACTAGTACTAGTCGTACGAGTGCTAATACTACAACGACTACTAGTACTACTACTACTACTACTACTACTACTACTACTACTACTACTACTACTACTACTAGTACTACTACTAGTACTACCACTAGTACTACTAGGACTACTACTACTAGTACTACTACTGCTACTAGTACTACTACTACTACTACTACTACTACTACTACTACTACTACTAGGACTAGTACTACTACTAGTACTACTACTACTACTAGGACTAGTACTACTACTACGACAGTACTACTACAAGTACTAGTACGGCTAGTCGTACTACTAGGTACTAATAAAGTAATAATGATTATACTCGGACTCGTGGCAGTGAGTATTGGTGAGAATTAGGACATGAGCGAATCCAAGACGAAGGCCATTGTCTTTGCGAAGACCAGGACCACGAAGACGACCGGCTCAGCGCTTGCGCTTGCCGGACGAAGGCGGCGGGCTCACCGGGTCCTTGCCCGAGCGCCCGGACCCGGGAGTCTTCGGGTCGGAGCGAGCCTTCCTCTTCGGCGTAGCCGGCGGGGGCTGCTGCTCGGCCTCCTTGGGCTTCGAAGGCGAAGTCGAAGACGAGCCTGATGGAACCGCCTCGAAGAAGAGGGGCCTCTCAGGACCCGCCTCGGCCCCATTGTGCTCCATGACGTGGGTCATGGGGATGCTGATGCAGCCCTTCACGAAGGCCGTGAAGAAGAGGTGGGGGCCCTTCATCGGGAACCCGCGGATCTCCTTCGGAAGCCGAAGGCGAATGTCCGTCTTCAGGTACCGCACGACCCCGAACGTCGACTGGTCCCCGTCATCGGCGGCATGCTCAAAGTTCCAGTACTTGTAGAGCGGATGGGCGACGAAGTCCTGCAAGAAGCTTCAGGCCGGCCAAAAAAAACAATCCAGTACATAATTAATTAATGTAAGGCTGATATATAGGTATTTTAAGTACCTATTTAGACCAGAACATCCCCGTCCTCCCAGGTCTCGCATACCGGCTCCGAAGACGAAGACCAAGACTTGAGAGGACTGTCCGACTCCTCGCTTCTGGTCTTGCACCACTGGAGCAGCTGGCTCTTCTGCTTGCTGGGCAAGGCGCTGCGCAGATCCACATGGAGGACGAAGGCGACGACCTCCGTGACGTCGAACTTGGAAATCTTCTGCCCCTTCTTCAGCATCTTCTCTATGAAGGAGGCAACTGCTGGCGTCACCAAGGCGAGGATTTCCAAGGCCACCGGGACGGTCAGGAGTCGGAACTTGTTCATGTAGCTCGGCAACCTTGTGTCTGCATCGGCGTCCGTCAGGGCATTCTTCTGGTCCAAGGCGTCATAGGAACCGAGCATGATCGAGCGGTGGATGTGTTCGAATCCCCTTGGGTGCGACTCGCACCACTCCACGATCTGTTCCATCATGATGGCCTGGTTAGCCTTGTCGCTGGACAACACCTGTTTTTGTTCCCTCCTCACAGCCTCACTTTTCTTCTCGGCAAGGCGCTGTTTCTTGCTGGCCCCATCCGCCGCCGCCGCGGTCTTCTTACCAGCTGCCTTGGGCGCCATTGCGAAAGAAGGCGAGAGAAGATGGAGGGAGAGAGCTTGCTCGAAGGCGAATCGAAGCCGAAAAAGCTGCTTTTTCGTTGGAGCATGCACACTCTGAACGGCATGAGTCTTGAGTGTCACTGACTTTGCACAAGAGAAGGGTCGCGATACAAGCGAGGCTGGGTGGACCTTGCGAAGGCGAAGTCCCAGTTGTCACCAGGGCTTGGCAACCTGCGAATGTGTGTAGTCGGAATGCTGTCACTGATAGAAACCCGTAACGCTGTAGATTCCCTGCCCGCTCCGCCCCGGAACCAGAAGTGTATAATCCTTACATGATGACAGAATCAGCAGCAGGACGACGTGGTCAAGCAGTCCGAATCGGGCGAATCGTTTGGATTTGAATGTTAAATTCAGGCTGTCCGGTTTACGGTTCCTGAAAAAGTTTGGGGTGTTTAGTGTGGAAGGTGCTCTACGCCCTCGGTGTTGCTCGGACATGTGGGGTTTTCGGGCTTAACAGCTGAAGTCTAATCAGGGTTTGAAGTCGAGGGAATGGGCATCTGACTTGTTGACGGTCTGGGGTTCCCTTTGGTTCGGGCAAGTTCAAGTTTAAATAAAATATTGATGTCTTAGGATCAGAGGCTTCGTTAATTAATCAAAGTAATCAAAACAAAGCAGAATCTTCCGGCCTTGACGGATAACACAATCTAAACCTGACCGACAGGAAGAAAACTAATTGTCGCCTGAGCTCCAAGTTAAGTTGCATTGTATAATAAACTCTTTCCTTCCTTTCCCCATCAATGGACACTCGAAGACCTTGCTGTGCAGCAGCGGGAGGCGCAAGGGGCTTTTGGCACGACTGACGAGTAGAATAGGCGTTGACACCCAAGAGTGCTACAGTAGACGTAAAGGTAGAGGCAAGTGAGGGAATTGAAAAGAGACATGAACGAATACAGTATCGACTGTTTATTGCTTTGCAATCCTAAAATTTTGTATAGCTCAACCCAAATAACAGCCCTAGTTTGTCAACAATTAAAACAACCCTGAGTCAATCGAGGTTTCAGTCTTTAGGGTTGAGGGTCGTAAATTACACTTCCAACAGTCACGCCCAAACGATGCCTGATGTGCCTTGTCGTGGTCGTTCTGAAGTACGTGAGGACAGGATCGGCCTTGAGTCGGGGGGGGACGAATCCCTGATTCTGATCGTCTTCACCACAACGAATTAGGAAATACCTGAAAAAGGTACTCCTGAGAGTCTGACCCCTGAAGTTTTAAAAGACCAAACTCTGATCTGAAAGCCTATTGAGTAAATGTCATTAAAATAGGGATCCTTGGCTTGACTACAGGATCTTAGCAAAAGTGGTTGTACTGTGCTGGACTGCATGCAGTCCAAGGACGGACGGAGGGGAGTTCTGAACAAATCTAGCAGAAGTCAGTGTCTGTCTTGGTTCTCTCAGACCAGGCATGTCAATAACAATGGGCAGCCGAGTGCGCGAAGCCCTGACAAGGCCGAGAAGAAAAGTTTATCCCAGGGTCCCAAGAGCAATCAATCTTGGGACCCTGAGAGTCGGTGGCCAAGAGCTCTCCTGCGCACAGCGGCAGCAAGTCGCAGGACGATTTAAAAGGCTGATGGGTTTGAGTGTAGCTGTCGGGAGAAGAAATAATTTTGGCTGGTGGTTTTTCGCTGATTAGTTAAGGTTTTTTTTTTGTCCCCCATCTCAGAAGGAGGCAAGTGCTGGTGTCACCAAGGCGAGGATATCCAAGGCCACCGCGACAGTTCGAACTTGTTCGTCATTGGAGTGGATTCATGTCGCTCGGCAGCCTCGTCTCCGAATCGCCGTTGGCCAGGGCATTCTGGTGGTCGAGTCGAGGGCGTCATAGGACCCCGAAACGTCATGGACCGTATGAACGTCGTCGAAGCCATGCGAAGGCCATGAGACGACGATGTGGTCCATCATGTGATCGTCTGAGATGAGGACTTGACTTTGACTGTTTGCCCAGTGCAAGTGCCGATTGTTTTGGTTCCGCCTGCCGCTGCAGCCTTCTTACCAGCCTTCGAGCCATCGCAAAACCAACCCAGGAAGTGGGTCGAAGTTGAAGCGTCTGTTGAAGGCGAAGACTCGAATCTCTCTAGCCATCGGTCGAAGGCAAAGAGTAAGACGCGAGTCGAAGCCCCGAAGCCTTCAGTTCAAGGCGAAGACTAAGACGCGAGTCGAAGCCTCCAAGCCTTCAGATTCGAAGGCGAAGACTAAGACGCGATGATTCGAAGCCCCGAAGGCCTGAGTCGAAGGCGAAGTCGCGACTCCCGCTAGACCTCGGGCGGAAACTCAAACGGGCAAGTCTCGCCAGGATTCAGTTGCAGGTAGCGTCTCCAGCTCATGTGCAGTAGCTTGTAGCAGCACCTGCTATCTGCTCCGCTGGGACCCCAAGACCTGGAGGCGCTCCATCGGTGCTGCCTCTGGAACACTCTCCAGCACTTGTTGAACTGATCCTTGTAGCCTCTGTAAAAAGGCGGCAGCAATTGCTGCAAGTCCTCGACGCTCCAGGCAGCATTGGACTCGAATCGGACCTTTTTGCGCCTCGTCGAAGACGACGAAGACGCAGCCGATTTCGAAGCCGATCCCGAAGTCGAACGAATGCGCTTGCGAATCCTCGCCACAGCTCTGGTCAGCATCGCCGCTTCGACAGCCTGGCTTTGACGTGTCCGCTGCGCAGCCTCCACGTCCTTTTGAGCATCCTTCCCGAGGACATCGTCCAGTATGTCTGAAGCCAGAATCTCGTCGAGCTCCTCATTCGCAGATGGACAGCGCCAGTGGATGTTCCGCTCCAGAATGCTGGCAACTTCTTCCGGGCTGCAGTTCATGCCCTTTTCCACTGCGGCCTCCAAGGCGAAGCCAAAGTCGTCTTCGCGCCAATCCGTCTCCGCCTCTGCCAAGCCGAACTCATCCTGTCGACAGTTTCATTAATTAATTTACGAAGCAATGAGAGAGTGTGACAAAAATTTCAAAAAGGTATTGTTAGCCAAGCCGGTTAGTCCTGGAGGAGCAGCTTGACGTAGAAGCTGCTGATGTCCCAGTAGGCATGAGCAGCAGCATGCTTCAGCAAGGCGACAGGATTCTTGGCACGCTCGCGCCACATCCCAGGAAGGTGTGGGACCTGCAACTCTGCAGGTTTCTTTTTGTTGCCGCTGCCTTTCTGCAGAATCCCTGCGTGCAAAGGCGACACGATCGTCGTTTGCAGGACCTGCCAGTCGGCAAACTTCTCCACAACCTTCCAGTGCAGATGCCCCCGTGTCAACGGCTTTGGCAAGGTGTAGCACACACTCTTGTCCGCAGCCTCGACTTTCTGCACGGAAATGCAAAGGGCCGCCGCACAGGTGGGCCAGGGACCAAGGCTGAAGAAGACCAAGTCCGGGCATCTCCTGTCCTTCACAACCAGCCCACGCTGGAGGAAGCGGGTCCGCCAGGTGTGGACGAGGTCCTGCAGCCGCCCCTCCTTGTGGAACCGCACCATGAGTGCTGACTCTGCAGGGATGGCGGAGGCACGCAAAGGCGAAAGCGAAGGCCATGTTTTGCGATTCAGGATTGTCCGCAGATCCTCCGTCGAAGGCGAAAGCTTTCGAGTGTGGAAGAAAGTCGAAGGCACTGTCCCGACTGAGACCTTTTGGGGGTTATTAAACAAAAGACTGAGGAGAAGCTATTTGATTCAAATTACGGAGGACTTTACTGAATTGGATTTTCCGTTCAATGCTTCAGGGGCGAACATTGATTCTCCAAATCCCCTACCTCGGCATCATCCGGCTCGATCTCTTGGTAGCCGAAGGACCCCAGGATGTTGTCGCCTGTTAGCTTCGCCCAGCCATCTATGGACGGCATTGCGTGACTCAAGTTCTGGCCTTGTTCATGCTGTCGCATCGCACGGAATCCTTCTTCGTTGAAGGTAAAGGCTAAGTTTGACCAGAGATCCGTCATGACCGTCCGCAGCATCGGTGTGGCGCTGCCATTGTTCTGGCGAATGTCCTGGAGCACATCTTTCACAAGCCGGTGCTGCATGGGGGAGGTCTGGCAGGCAGATTTGCACCACTTCGTTCGAATGCCTTGAGCAGTCTCAAAAGCCTTTGCCTGATCTTCGAGTTCCACGCACACTGTTTGGATGGCCGACGTGTCGTTGCCGGTCAGCAAGACGAGCTTGTGCGGGAAGTCGAAGAAGGCCATGCTGGTCAGGCACTTCTGGTAGCTTGCGCAGAAGAACATGTCGCAGAGCTGGCCGAAAAGCATGTCCTGTTGACTGACAAGGGGGTGCTCCTCGCTCAACTTGTTGTAGAACATGGAGCCGGCGCAATCTTCATGCGTTAGAAGGCCAAGGCGACGATGAAGATCGGCATCGAAAATGGCGTCGTGCATTTCAGAGACAACGGAAATCCAGTCTCCCAAGGCGAACGAACGCCACATGGCCAAAGCGCCTTGCCTTCCCCTGACTTCTTTACGCAAAGTGTTCAACTGTCTGGACAGAGGAAAAGTGATTGCATGCCAGCTGTTCAAGGCGGTCATGAGGTCCAAGTCCATGAGAAGCAGACAGACCACGTGGAACTTGTTCTTGCACCTGTTGTACAAGGCAGTGGTCGCGGCCTTGGCTTCCTTCATGGTCTTGGAGCCTTCCTTCTCCGCCTTGGCCGTTGCAGAGGCGGCGGCCGCCGCTTCCGCGACACCGAAGGCGAAGTCGACACCCGAAGACGACCCTTTCAAAATGCCAGCTCGCAGGCAGTAAGACTGCATGAGCAGCAGCAGCCCGCTCTCGTCTCGGCGGCTCCGCCATGCGGAGTGAAACTCGTCCCAGCGTGAGAAGTTGCCGCTGCCGGTGTACGACCGGAGGAAGCGAGCTTCCTCAAGCATCTTGAGAAGAGCCTTCGGACTGCACTCTTCCGCACTCAAGCCCTTCTCCCGGGCCACCCGGGGTGCGATGGCTTTCAGCAGGACCTCCCCAGCGCCGTCCTGAGCCAAGGCCAGGGTCTTCGCGAAGTCGAAGGCCTCTTCTTGGAGGACGCGAAACCACTTGGCGCCTTTGTAGGGCCCCCTGCAATAAGAAAGTATGGCTTGTGCCATTTTCATCTTGCTTCGCATGCCTGCAAGGTTCGTGGCATTTTCAAACTCCCTGTGCAGTTGATGCCGCACGTCGTACAGAAACAGCCCGCGACACCCGAGTTCGTAAAGAAGAAACCATCGGGCTGACTCTTGCTCGGAGCCGTGGTCCGATGTGATAGAAAGAATGGGTTTGTGCCGCAAGTCCTCTGCCTCCTGACCTTCGCCTTCTTTTGGCAGGAAAGCCTGCAAGCCGGAATCATCATGCATGATTCGAAGACAATGGTCGAAGGCGAGCAAAGAGTCGTAGGCAGCAGCACGTTCAGGTGGACCTTTGTATTTCTTGAAGGCGACGTCGCTGTCGTTCGTTCTGTCACTGGCTTCTCTGCTTTGCTCGCCACCTGAAATGATTTGCTGATGTTAGACTCAAACAGACGAAAGAGAAGAGCAAAGAAAGGTAGGCATTTTCCAAAAACTCACTCAAGCCAATTCCTGATGAATTAATCCACGCCAAGGCACGCAGGAAGGCCAAGGCGACCCGATCCAAGGCGACTGCGTCGTCAGGGGCTGCGGTTGTACCCGCCAAGCGGTAACCACTGTCTTGGTGCACCTGCAACGACATTTCTTCAAGTAGTCTAAGTAGTCAGTCAATCTAAGGAAACGTCTTATAATAACGGCTACAACTAATGATGGTTCTCACCTGGAGCTTTGAATTAGTTATTTTAAGCATAGATCAGGCCTGCGGCGGACCCCAGGCCGCTTGCCCAGAGGTCAGGTGCTGCAAGATGTAAGTGGTCCGCTTTCGCCCCCCGACGCGACTGGCATCGAAGGCCACGCCGAGCCGCTTGGCGCTTTGCAGATGGCGTCGGGCTGCCTGCCAGTATAATGCCCTTTCCCTGTGCCTGTCCTTTCTCGTCACCAACACTTTCACCTTGGCCTTCATCTGGCGAAGCTTGGCTTTTTGACGAGTGGTCAGCTTCAGGGGGGTCTTCGAAGACGAAGTCGACTTCGAAGACGAAGGGGTCGATTTCGAAGGCTTCGAAGACGAAGACTTCGAAGCCTGCTCCTGGCCGCGCAGAAACCTGACGTTGCGGACTCTCTGTGCCATGTCCCTCGAGGTCTTTGAGCCCAGGCCCTGTTCCAATTGCTGTTCGTCGATCTCATTGTCCTGCATAAAAGCGTCTGGCAGGAAGTCGAGGGCGATCTCGACCCCAGCAGCAATGGCAAGAAGGATCTGCCGCAGCAGGTCATGGTGCCTTTCGACAAGGCGAAGGCTAATCAGAACATCGCACAGTCTTTGTTTCTCTTCCTTGAACTGCTTCTTGAAAGGGCTCCTCTTGCCTGCCAGGCATTGCCGCCATGACTGAGACCCAAGCAGTTCCCGAAGGTCGACCAGGGCATCTGCATCCAAGGCGAAGTCGAAGTCCACTCCCTCTACCGACACCGTGCATGCCCAAGGCGACAGGAATTTCAGCAGCTTATGCAAATAATCTCTGGAGGAAATTCTTTGCTCCTCTGTCTTTCCTGACACAGCAGAACTCAACAGCACCAGCAGCATCATCTGAGTGGAGCCCGCCACCTGGTGTACCCTGGAATCCGGCGAAGACGACTTCTCCTGGCTGCCCAGAGGCCAGAGAAAGTGCTGCTCGGACTCCAGGATCTTCTTGCCCATCTCGGTCCATGACCGTTTTGCGGCCTTGCTCACATCCGCCGGCTGTAACCTGCAAAAGCAGGACATAGACCAAAAGTAGCGGCAGCCGTGCTCGGGTCTAGGCAGCTGGTACTGCACCAGCCACAACTTTCCTTCTGGCTGAGGAATTTCCTTGGATTTGCACCGACGGGTACTAATATAATATATGGTCTGGGAACTTAGTCGCACTGGTACTACTTCTAGTAAAAGTACTACTAGTCCTAGTACTAGTAGTAGTCCTAGTAATACTAGTACTAGTACTATTAATTCCTAGTACTACTACTAGCAGCAGTTGTTGTTTTTTCTTGTTGTAGGTATTATTAATAGTTAGTGGCACATCTAGTAGTACTTTTAGTAATAATAATAATAGTTGTACTAGTAAGTACTACTAGTACTAGTTCTAGTACTAGTACTACTACCTACTTTACTACTACTACTACTAGTACTACTACTACTACTGACTACTACTACTACTACTACTACTACTACTACTACTACTACTACTACTACTACTACTACTACTACTACTACTACTACTACTACTACTACTACTACTACTACTACTACTACTACTACTACTACTACTACTAAAGGGCTCCCTGTGTTGCCTTTCTAAAGATCGCTAGGTAGTTAAAAATTTCAAGCAGGTTTCTGTGGAATTCTCCTCCCTGGTTCTGTCTCTCTGTATCTGAGACCTTCTCTCCCTCTCCTGGCCTCCCCTGGTGTCACGGTCTCTCTCTCTCTCACTGTGTGGCTCTCTCTCTTTTCTCTCTCTTTCCCTCTCTTTCTCTCTCGTTGTCTCTCTTGAGGCCTGAGGTAGTTGATTTTTTGAAACAAGTAGGTTTCTGTGGATTCATTCTCCCTGGTTCTGTCCTTCTGTCTCCTGCTGTCTCTCTCCTGGCCTCCCCTCCCGACACCCCGCCAACGGTGTCACGCTGTCTCTCTCACTCTGTGGCTCTGTCTCTCTCTCTCTCTCTTTCTCTCTTTCCTTCTCTTTGTCTCTCTTGCGGCCTCCCCTGCAATCTGAAGGCACTGTGCAACCCTCGCCCAGTTCCACCCCAAGTGGGCGCCAAGGCACTGGGCTGTCCCCGCTCGGCAAGCAAGCACCCCTACGTGACCGCCGGCCGCACGGTCAGGGGGAGAGGGTTACCGAACGGGTGAGCACAGGATCCTGCCCAGCAGACGCATTAGCCCATGTGCTCTGCTGTCATCCACCGAAGTCGGTTGGCCAGAAGCAGGAACGTATGGCACTTCAGTCCCGACACCCGGCCAACGGTGTCTCGCATGTTCTGCGTGGGTAAGGACAACGACAAAGCAAGCAAGGTCAAGCTCATGCCAAGAACAAACATGCCATGCCAATGGACAAGTCAACGAAAGTCTCTCTCGCTCTCTCTCTCTCTCTCTCTCTCTCTCTCTCTCTCTCTCTCTTTCCATCTCCGTAGCTCTGTCGCCGTCTGTCTATGTCGCTCTCTTGCTTGCAATCGTGCTGTTTGTCTCTCCGTCCATAGTAGCTCCTCGTTGGGATTATAGGATCTTTAATAGGAACCACAAAAAGAAAGCACTATGGGGCCTTATGGCCTTGTCAGTCTTAGAGCAACAAGGCGATCTCTTGCGAAATATCCCCGACACGAAGGGTCCTCTCACCGTCTTCTCTCTTGTAGTCATGCTGTCCTGTGGCTACTACTAGTCCTGTGGCTAGTACTACTACTACTACTACTACTACTACTCCTACTACTACTACTACTACTACTACTACGACTACTACTATTACTACTAGTACTACCACGCTAGTAGCAGTACTAGAAGTAGGTGTAGTAGTAGTAATTTTTGGCTCCCGCTTGGCATGTCCGAAGACCCGCATGGCAGGTTAGACGTCGGCTTGAGGGCGAAAGGGGACACAGCATGCCACCCTTTGAGGCTTTCAGGCGACCTCTTGCGACTGTCACACATTAACCTCAACCCACACCCCTCACACTACAACATCATAGTAGTAATAATAGTTTCTAAAACTGCAAATTAAACCATGTGCAAGCAGCACAAGCCAAGGTCACTCAACACAGCCATGTCATGTCACAACAACGAGCGGCCTCCCTGACTTGTTCGGACTGTCTGGAGTCTGGCCTGGCCAAACCAGCTAAACCAGTTTTGCCCCAGCACGGCGCATTAGCCCATATGCCCGGCGGTCATCTACCCCCCTGCCGTGGGGTAGGTTGGCCTCAAGGCAAAGCCGAACGCCTCACACCCGGCCAATGGTGTGGGGAGCAACCCAGATGATGGGGCAGGGGTTGACTCCCCAGGTAAGGCGACCAAGACGAAGGCTAGTCAATGTACCAGGGGACACTTGACTCCCCAGGTAAGGCAAGAAGACGAACGCCACTCAAGCAGAGCAATCATGAATTGTGACAATCAAGTGGCCTCCCAATGCCTCCCAGGATCCGGTACTGACGGCTGGTCTGCCTACCCACGCCCCCGCAGGCGCATTAGCGCATCGCCCTGCGACAGCCCGGCGCAAGGCTGTTTGGCCCTGGGGCGTGGGTTGCAGGACATTCCAAGCCGAGACTCAGACCGCATTCCCTTTGCCTGGGCCCCACCCCCGGCCAGCGGTGCGAACGCCCTCTGTTACTGAAGCGCCAAGAGGACGTTTTGGTAGGGCGGCAAAGCATTCCATGAAGTCAAGCAAGACTGGATCACAGAAGCTCCTGTTGCGTAGTAGTAGTAGTACTAGTAGTAGTAATAGTAGTAGTAGTAGTAGTAGTAGTAGTAGTAGTAGTAGTAGTAGTACTAGTAGTAGTACTAGTACTAGTACTAGTAATAGCAGTAGTAGTAAGAGTAGTAGTAGTAGTAGTAGTAGTAGTAGTAGTAGAAGTAGTAGTAGTAGTAGTACTAGTCGTACTCGTAGTAGTAGCACTAGCAGTAGCAGTACTAGCACTACTACTAGTACTAGTACTAGTAGTAGTTGTTGTTGTGTCGTACTAGTACTAGTACTAGTAGTAGTAGTAGTAGTAGTACTACTAGTAACAGTAGTAGTAGTAGTAGTAGTAGTACTACTACTAGTACTAGTCCTAGTAAAGTACTAGTAGTACGAAAAACGTGTTGTTGCAGAACTGATGAGCCGCTCAGAGCCTGTACAACTCTAGAGTACTGTTGCTTGAGCTCATGTCAAACCCACTTGCTCAGACGCTTGACCAGATGCTGCCGAGAGTCCCCCCCGGCTCGCGGATGCAGTATGAGCCGCTTCTTCAGGAAATCTGCCAGCCAGACGATGGTGTTCCCGTTCTCACCAGTTTTGATGACGAACTCTTTTTCGCTCTCTGTGACAGACCACAGAGCCCACGAAAAGATTTTGTCTAGCCACCGCTTGTCACCGTTCCTGAGCCTCACAAACGCACGGTCCTCGTGAACATGAATGTCACGGAAGTCGAAGACGACATGTCGCTCACCGGTTTTTTTGTGAACCAGGAGCCCCCGGCCCTGGTTATTCTCAGCAACTTGGAACAAACCTCTCTCAGAGATTTTGCGACATCCGGGGTCGAGTCGAGGATCCGGTGGAGCTTCGGCAGCCATGGGCGGAAGTCCAAGGCCAAGTTCCGGTTTAACCGGAACCTGAAGATGCAGGGAAGTCTGAAAGCTAATCGGTAACGCCTTCGAAGGCGAGTGAGACAGGTTGCTGCAAGCTTGAGCAGGACTGAGGTTCCGATTTACATCAATGTCTAGAGTCTCCTATGACAGGACACTGGGGCTTCTGTCCTCTTCTTCCTTTTCGCCACATGACACAGCGACAGCAACACACGGTGGTCAGTCAGCATACGGCCAAGTCAACTGTGAGTACTTTCGGAAACCCAGCATCACTGTCACTGCATGCCTGTTTCTTTCATGCAATGGTTCCTGTCTTAGATGCAAACACTCGTGTCACAGGCAATGGGAATGAATGACACTATGGCTCCTAAGGAATCCAACTCAGGAGCGGCAATGCAAGGTCCTGCTAGAGCGGTGCATGACACTATGGCTCCTAAGGAATCCAACTCAGGAGCGGCAATGCAAGGTCCTGCTAGAGCGGTGCAGCCACGACGAGCCTCGGCAAAACCAGCAATCATCGGGCTGCTGAGGGCATGGGGAGGTGGAGGTGACAGACAGAGCATGAACCGCTTAGTCTGTGAGCTGTGACTTGTTCAAGAACCACACTGGCGGGACTCAACTTCTGCAAAGGAGCATGTCATGCAGGAGACGCGAGTGTCTGTAAACACTACTTGGCGGCCGGCCCTTTCGCAGAGTCAGACAACTGAAGTGCCACAAGCTAACATACTGACGGCATGACAGAGTTTAACGGACATGCTTGCTTACCGGAAACAAGGAATGGCCGAGAATTGCTCAATGCCCCCCCTCGCTTCTGCAAGCACCTGGCACCGATGCCATAGAATTGCATGAAGTCGCCTGGCAAGGCAGGGTAGCTATATTGTGTCCACTTTGAATCAGTTTAGGCCCTAGGCTTAACGGACAGTCTTTCAGACTCCATACTCAACAGTCTTTCAGACTCCATAGTCAAGTGGAAGGTACATCTCTGGATCTTGAACACTGCTGGTCACATGCCAGTGCAAGAACAGCTGAAGAGTTGCATCCTGAATGAAATCTTAAGCCGAAAACCTCCTTAAATGAAAAAAGCCCGAGTCCGAAACCTTGATATATTTCTCATGGCTTCAGTTCTTAATCCTGCCCTGTGGAAAAGTGCATCTGTGCCACTCTAGCTCCGTCCAGCCACAGAAGCCAACGCCATATCCATTGTGCCAGTTTGACTAGTAGGCAGCCCTTGATTTAGTGTATTGGGAATGTCTTGAACCCTGAGCTCCTGCTGTAAGGCTGGGTTTAGGCAGGGGGTTTGCAGATTACAATGAAAGAGCTTTTACGCTTTGGGGCTCTAAGCAAACGGGCTTTCTTTCTCTATTTTGCAAGATTTTTGGCCTTGCTGGGATTAGACAAGATTAATTTTTAAAAAAAAACTTCGAGACATGAATGATTCTGCAATGGTACTTTCGGTCCCTGAGGCTCCGTGCATCCAAACTGGAATCTGCAGCTCAGCACCTGGCCACGCGACAACTTAACAGCATGAGGCCGCAGT